CTCGCTGAGTAAAGGCACTTGCTACGAAGTCTGACAACTAGAGTTTGATCGTTGGGATCTACATGGTAGAAGAAAAGAACTGAGTCCTACAACTTGTCCTCTGACCTTCACACAGGTGTATGGCAGGTGCACACACACACACACACACACACACACACACACTCACACAAGAACAAACACAAAAAAATAATAAAACAAAACAACACTTCCCTGCCATCACCCAGAGCCATGTTCTCCTTTTACTTTAAATCAGGAGTTAAGAAATGAGTCCTCTATTTAGGAATCACCTGCCCTCAAAGCCAGTTAATTCAGATCATTCCTGGAAGACGTTTTCAGAGACAATCTCTGAGGTTTCCTTAAGTCTTCATTACTCAGTGCTTGGATTCTATGTCAAAATTCTCTGCTTTGATTAGTCTGGACTATGAATCATAGACCACAAGGAGTAGAAAACGTTTATTTGTAAGGCAAGAAGGGTTACTGGTACCTCATGGAGGTATAAGTGTCATTTGAAGTCTTCCAGTTTTGCCGGTGACACTTCATGCAACCAGAGCAGCCTGAGTATGAAGAGAAGCTGACAGATCTGTTCTGGGCTGCTGATAGGAAGATGAACTGCCTTTCTGTGGCCAGAAACCTGGTTTGTCTCCGTCTCTCTCTCATCTCTCACACACACTAGTGCTCGTGAGTGCACATGTGTGCGCACACACAGAGTCAGTGATTTTCAACCATGTAAAAAAAAATGAAGCATCTGTTCTTTCTCTGGAGACCAAACAAGGGAGAAAGGGCATGGGGCATGCCTGCAGTGAGAGGCATCAAAGTTAAACTTCTGAGGAAGAACATTCTCATAGGAAGGGGTAGAGAAAACCAGGGATACCCAACAAAGACATCTAATTGATTAAAATAAATGGGGGAGTGTTTGTGTTAATTTGTCTAAAGTACATTTATTCAGCAACAACGATACATTTTAGAATTATACAGTGGGAAAAAAAACAAGTTGCTCATGTTTTCAAATTCCTGGCAAATGACTACTCTTAGAGATTTAGGGACAATAAATGAGTGTTTCCAGGATTTCTCAGAGATTTCAAAATTCTTATTTTAAACAAACTTCTAAAAACTCCTCACACTGTTACTTGGATTGCTAAATTTCACAGTAGCATTTAGGAAGGAGAACAAGATAGGATAACAAAAAGATGAAATACGCTGGTGAGTTCTCACACATACAGTATACTTAGTACAAATCTTTCAAATGATCTCTTGAAGTGTAACAGGTTGTCAATGCAAATTAAGTCCTTAATTGGTAGGTGTTCATTTGTGATTCCATGAGAGGTTATTATTTGTAACACAAAAGTAAATGACCTAGAGACTGATATTGGGGTTCAGACTTCAAGCTGAATATCAGAAAAGCAAAGCAGCTGGCCACTAGCTCTCATCTCTACCTCAGGCTGAAAGGGCTGATCCTGTCTGCATGAGCTCTCACCAAGCCTTAGACTGTAACCTCTCCTCAGTGTGGCTGGAGAATGAATGATGCTCTGAGACCTTGCTTCTGTCTTATAGACTTCCCTAATGTTGGGATTAAGGTGTGAGTTATAATTCTCTTTTAGACTGATTGATTCTTGTGTAGATCTGGGTGGCCTTGGACTCACAGAAATCCATCTATCTCTTAATCCTGAGTCCTAAGAATTAAAGGTGTGTATCACCATTGCCTGATCTCTGTAGATTGAGGCTGACTTTACTTTTCTGAATCCTCAGTCAAGCTTTAATAAATCATAAATATATCACTACATTATGCTATTGGGAGATCAGGATTTTAAATTTTGTTTTTGATCGTTTGAATGTTCCTGTAGGCTGTAACTCTTTGTAAGCATCACTACAGAATGTATGGTTTATAGGTACTCACAATATTTGATGTGTTGTAAGAAGCATAGCATGAGTTCATGTGGACAGAACAATATGGATTATGCTTCTTGGGTGTGAGGGAATATATCTACAATCCTAGCACTCAGGAGGATGGTGAGTTCAAGGCCATCCTGGGCTACATAGTAAGTTGGAGACCAATGAGAGCTACATAGAGAGACTTCTGTCTCAAGAAACAACAAATAGAAAAATAACACCCCATCCCTACAATTTTTTTAGTCTCTAAGACCCTCTAGCAATAACAGTGTGTGGTTAAATCTCCCTGTTGACACTTATTTGGGTTTTTCAATTTCTCTGACCTTGATTTATCTGTCTGTGAGTTGGGAGTAATACTTCCTCTTTGAGTAGTTATTATACCCCTTCAACACTTAAGGTACCATGGCATGGCTCTATTAGTTACGTCTGTATAACCCCCCCCACACTGGTGGGTGTGGAGTAGAGATGATTGCCATCCTAAATGGCTTGCATTTACTTGTGTATAGAGTCAGAATGAGCCAACAGACATCTTGAGATCCCATTGTGCCTTCTGGTTCCTCATGCCTATGAAGATTCTGTAACAATTATTCAGTTTCATGTAAAGGGAAAGCCAGACTGTCTCCTGGATTGTCCGGAAGGTGGCTGAGATAGGGAATGCTTGCATACAGCTCCTAATCATATTAGATCACTTGACATTTTTTGCATGAGCAATAAGTTGATAAATGAGGAAGGCTGGTCACTGTCCCAGTTATTAATGAGAAGAGCTACCATCTTCATGGTAATGAATTTTGATGAGGGAGAAGAAATCACCGCTGGCAGAACCAGCAAATGTGCAGTTGCTGCCTGGTTACTGCCTCTGCCTTTTTCTGGGCTGGTGTTAGAAACGAGACCCAGGGACAGAAATGCAAAGATAAGCCCTGAAGCTGTACCATCTAAGAGGCAGGCCTAGGGCAGACCTTGTCAGTGACATTGAACTCACGGTTACTCTTCCTTTCTTGGCCAGGCCTCAGGAGACAGGTTGACGTGGGTAAAAAATAAGTATGTGCTTGGCCTTGCAAGACTTTAGTAGAGAAATTCTGCATCTAAAAGCTTTGCCTCTGACAGTCTTTTGACGTGAAGTTATATCATTGGAAGAGGCAGTGAAATTTTCTGAGGTGACATGAAGGCCTTTGCGTGGACTAGCCACGTGACTTTGGAGGGAGTGCTGGCAAGTGTGCAGACTTCCTTGCTGCTAGAGGCAAAAAAAAAAAAAAAAAAAAAAAAAAAAAAAAAAATAACACAAAACACCACAGTCCTAGTCATCACAAAAGAAGCTTTGCACCAGTACTTCGAGTCCTCCACATCTAAGCAGGTTTACCTTGGAGCAGGCCAGACTGACAGCTTGTAGTTCTGCTTCTTGGTGCCCCTCTGATGGTCAAACAAAAATGGGATAGGTAGGGTGTTAGTTGGGGGCAGGGGAGGAGGGGAGAGAGAGAGAACTAGTATTGAATTTAAAAAAATGGAGGAAAATTTTTTAAAAAGTCAGAGCCATTTTTTAAGGCTCTGACAAGCAGGATGGGAGCTATTCTTTTTGCACTTTGTAATTTCTGAAATTCACTTTATTGGAGGAGTGCTGCTTAGGGAAGTGAAGACACTCTAGCTTTTTGACTACAGCTCAGGGGCACAGGTTTGTTTAGTATCAGGGTTTTAAGAATTATAGGGCCTTGGCTGGGGGCATAGCCCAGTGCTAGAACAGTTACTCGGCAAACAGAAAACCGTGAGTTCAATTCTCACCACTACAACAATGCTCACAGTACTTGTAGGCTTGTAACCTACGAGTTACAAGTGACCTCTTACACCCTTCCGTATGTCCAGACAAACATCATCTCTTTTTGCCTGCTTATCCACTCCCAAGTCTTTCTATTGGATTTTAGGAACCCTGTCTAAGAAAAGTGTGGCCCTTGAAGCAAATAATAGGTCCAAATATTCTGGCTAGGAGCTGTCTGAGTGGGTGAAAATGGCTTACAGACCCACAACTTGCAGAAAAGATGAGAAAGGAGATAGGGACTCTTCTTACCCCGACAATGCCATTTTGAGCCAAGAACACTATGAACTTGGTAATTGGATATGCTTTTAGAAGCCAGTCTTGCTATTTTAGAAATGGATTTTGTAGCTGCTATGTAAAATCAGCATAGCTATTCACCAAGCAAATCAATGAAAAATACTGTGTGCCAATTTGTGCTGGAGAGCCACGGCTCCTTAAGTGATTACCAAGACTGAGAAGGTCAAACACTTTCCATACCGGCAAGGTTGATAAGGTCACACACTTTCCATACCTGGTGAATTCAGGTTTATCTGTAGGTAGCTGTGTCCAGCTTGGGCAACAACTGTACTGGGAGAGTTTTTATCCTGTGCTGATTTGTTTATATGTAACTGCCTTCTTCTACATGCAGAGATACTCCATTCAAACCCATAGCTATTCAAGTCTTCATTTCCCAATTGCCAAACTCTGTTCCCAAATACACTCATATTCAAAACAGTGGCTTACAGGGCTTTAGGCTACAAAAGATATGCATGTGTGTGCCCATGGGCATGCATATGTTTGTGTATGAATGTGGTGGTGGTAGAGCAGTTTCCCAGGACTGTTATGACAATCTACCATATGCCAGAGACTTAAAACAACAGAAAGTTAGTGTTTCACAGCTCTGGAGGCTACACATCTAAAATCAAGGTGTCAACAGGGCCATGCTCCCACTGAAGGGTCTAAAAGAGAATCCTTCCTTGATTTTCTAGTTCCTGGTATTTGCTTCTGATCTTTGGCCTTTGGGGCCGTGTAGATTAATCACCTACCCCTTGCCTCTGTAAACACTTATCATTTCCTTCTGGGTCTATGTTTGGACTTCTTCTTTTTTATAACACCACCAATCATTGGATCTGAGTCCACCCCAAATCATTATGATTTCATTTAAACTTGATCATATCTTCAAGATACTTATTTCCAAATAATATCGAATTCGCAGGGGCTTAGAAGTCGAACATGTCCTCTAGGAGCATATAATTCAACTTTAAATAGGAATTATGGTTTTGGCAGCCATTGACCTCAAGTTCCATCTGTTTTTTCTCTTTCACTGTAGAGACTAGAAACCTTGGAATTATGTCCTCCAGAATCCCTTGGCATCAGAGCTCTGCTTTGCAGTTTCCCAATGAAAGAAACTTGTGCAACAAAGGAAGAAGAAAATAGAAGTTCTTGCTCCCATGGGAGCAACACCAAGCATGCAGGCTTTGATCAATGGCAGATGTGGGATCACCGTAATAACTTCTATGTGCCCTCCTGCACTTGCCTCTTTTACTGTTGAAGGAAGCTGAGATCATTAGTCATCATTTTACAGTTCTACACTTCTTGGAAGCATACGGTATCTTTCCTTGGTCTTTTCTTCTTTGGTCCTTCTAACAGTTTTAACAGTGTCTGGAATAAATCCCTCCTTTGAAAACTCTTGAGTGGGGTGCCTGTTTCTCTGAGGAGGGATTGCCATGTCCTCCTAGAGTGATATCTGAGAACTTTTAAAGGTATGTTGTTTAAAATCTGACCTGCCGGAGACCTCTCTCAGATTACTGAGCAGTGGGGACATGCCTTGTCCCTCAGTGACAGTTGAGGACCACAGAACAACTTGTGGCTATTATAATTCATTCAACCGAGAGTCAGGATGAGGTTTCTCTGTAAGAGTTCACAATCTTTAGGGGTCAATACACATGTGGTTAGGTTACGGTAGAATAAATAAATGATGTTGCTCTTAGGTTGCCATGGAAACTGCAAAGACAAGATTATATATCAGTTCTTTGGTTCAAAACCTTCTCTGGCACCCTGTTGCATGATGGATTAAATACCAACATCTCAACTAGTATTCAAGACTCATGTGTTAGAGTCACTAGAATGTAATACCCTTGCTGATAAAGGCTTTCATTGCCCCATCCTTGTTTCTGTGCCTAGACTTTGACAAGTTTTAATACCTATTAGCAAGTGGATAAGTGTCTGCCTCTACACTTCTGTGAAACTAGCTGCTTACCCATTCCCGCTATCTATCCTTGGCCTTTGCTACACATTTGTCCACACTGCCTCTCTTTGCAACCACTTTCCCTCTCACTTCTTTCTTTTGAACATCCTATTTGTTTAAGGCCTATCTCATAAACTATTCACAAATCAATTCTAGGATTTCACTCTGTCCTGGGTGGGCTCTCTCCTTGCTTTGGGCTCTTAAGTATGCTCTAAGAAAAGTTGATAACCTTATTTCAGGGGACAGGCTTTAGGTTAATAGTGAAATCGAGGTCCCATGCATTCTCCTGTCTTCCCCTACATTTCCCCTGAGTCTGTAATGTCAGGTAGCATATAGAGGAGAAACAAAGGAGACAAGAACCCAATGGGTTATCCCTGTGGATGTGGTCTGTGGTCAAATCCAAGTCCAGACAGTTGTAGTTATATTTTGTACCCTTGTCATCCTACTTTGTTTTGTTTTGTTTGTTTTTGGCTTTTTTTCTTTTCTAACATTTTTATTAATTTTGGAAGAATTCCATACAATGTATTTTGATCATAGTTACCCTCTACTCTCCTCACTAACTCCTTCCAGGTCCATCTTCACCTCCCTACCCAACCCCAACTTTGTGTCCTCTATTTTTTTTTTATCATTTTTTAATTTGAATTAGAAACAAGATTGATTTACATGACAATGCCAGTTCCCTTCTCCCTCCCATCCTCCCCTACCACCTCCCCAACTAAAAGCCTACCTATCTCATACCCTTTCTTCTGTTCTTCACCTGACTCAGCCTTTCTGCCCCCTCAAGACCTCTGCATCCTTCCTCTTCTTCCCTTCTCATTCTCGTAGCTCCATCCCCCCTCTTCCCATGCTCTCAATTTGCTCAGGGGATCGTGACCCTTTCTTCTTCTCCAGGGGACAATGTTTGTCTCTTTTAGTGTCCCCCTTGTTTACTAGTTTCTCTGGCAGTGTGGATTGTAGGCTGGTAATCCCTCACTCTATGTCTAAAATCCACATAAGAGTAAGTGCATATCGTGTTTGTCTTTTTGTGATTGGGTTACCGCACTCAGAATGGTTTCTTGTAGTTCCATCCATTTTCCTGCAAATTTCAAGATTCCATTGTTTTTTTTTCTGCTGAGTAGTACTCCATTGTGTAAATGCACCACATTTTCTCTATCCATTCTTCGGTAGAAGGGCATCTAGGCTGCTTCCAGTTTCTGGCTATTACAAATAGTGCTGCTATGAACATTGTTGAACAGATGTCCTTGTTGTATGAATGTGCTTCTTTTGGGTTTATGCCTAGGAGTGGAATTATTGGATCTTGTGGTAGACTTGTCCCATTTTTCTGAGGAGTCACCATACTGATTTCCAAAGTGGCTGTACAAGTTGGCACTCCCACCAGCAGTGCAGGAGTGTTCCCTTTTCTCCACATCCTCTCCAGCATAAACTCATTGGTGTTTTTGATTTTAGCCATTCTAACAGAAGTAAGATGGTATCTCAGAGTTGTTTTGATTTGCATTTCCCTGATGGCTAAGGATGTTGAACACTTTCTTATGTGTCTTTCAGCCATTTTAGATTCCTCTATTGAGAATTTGGTGTTTTTTCTTGAGTTCTTTGTAAATTTTGGAGATCATCCCTCTGTCAGATGTGGGGTTGGTGAATATCTTTTCCCAGTCTGTGGGCTGCCATTTTGTCTTGCTGACTGTGTCCTTTGCCTTACAGAAGCTTCTCAGTTTCAGGAGGTCCCATTTATCAATTGTTGATCTCGGTGTTTGAGCTACTGGTGTTATGTTCAGGAAGCAGTCTCCTGTACCAATTAATTCAAGGGTATTTCCCACTTTATCTTCTAATAGGTTCAGTGTGGCTGGGTTTATGTTGAGGTCTTTGATCCATTTTAAGTTTTGTGCAGGGCGAAAGGCTTGGTTCCCCTTACTTTTCACTGTCTTCCTTTTCTCCCCTTTCACTTCTTTCCTGGCATCAAGGACACACAAGGAACTGTTCAACATCACAGCTTTGTTGCTGTTATTTTAAAGATTTGTTTATTTTTGTAGGTGAGTGCTGGATCTACATGTATGCCCACAAGACAGAAGAGGGCATCAGGTCCCATTATAGATGATTTGTGAGCCACTATGTGGGTACTGGGAACTGAACTCAAGACTTCTGGAAGAGCAGCCGGCGCTCTTAATTGTTGGGCCTAATGGGGCTTAGACTCGAGGTCCAGTGTAACTTCCTGAGCCTGACTAGAATTTGGCAACCTGTCTCTGGCCTGTGACTTCCTCATGGGAATGACTCAGCATGCTCTGGCTTAGAACTGCCTCTACATAGCTACTGCCACCGTGGTGAGGCATTATTGGCCCCTGAACCCCACGTCATCCCATCCTTAGTCTCCTGCCTCTTCCCTCAGCCCTATATAAACACCTGCCTGATACAATAAAGAGAGATCCTGCTTCAACAAATATCCTGACTCAGTGTGTTTCTCTCCGGTGACTAAGTGGGGAGAGGTCTGGGTCCTTGACACTCTCCATCCTGCTTAGCCCAGGAAGAGACCAGCTGGACTGGCCCTTCCCCAGCTCTACCTGCTGCAGGACCCGACACTTAATTGATGAGCCATCTCTCCAGCCCAGTTTTTGCTGTTTTCAAGCAATGAAATCTTGCTCCATTTCCCAGGCAGACCTTCCATTCCTAGATGCAATTCTTGTTACCTTACCCAATGGCGTGAACTATCATATATGACTAAAGCAAAATTTTGTATGAGTTCACCCTGCAGTCTCAAGAAGCTTCACAATAGACAGATATGGCAGAAAAAGTTCCCCAGGTTCTTGAAAAAGAGAGGGTACTGGTCACGAGGAGTCTTGGGATTTACCATGTATATTCTACTGGGAGAAGGCTAGGGATCAGGTTAGGGCAGAAAGCCAAGTCTAGATGCAACTGAAGATCAACAATATGGTCAAGGGCGGCCAGAACTGTCATTTAGGATGCTGCAGGGGCCTTCCCTAGGTGGGCATATGAAGGCAATAGGATCCTGTTAAGTCCAGGAACCTCTGTGAACTTTAGAGTTTGCCTGTTTGGGATAGGAGGGGGTATTAGGACCCAGTTTTCTCATTCCTGATGCTTTTCTTTTAAAGACAGTTCTTTCTCTGGTCTTTCTATTTTTTGTGTGTGTTTGTTTTATTACAGCTGGATCCTGAAATGTAAGAGGTCAAGGCAAGTCTGTTCCAGTTGAAATGGGTGTGGAAGCTAGAGCCCCCAATTCACCTCCTACCTTCCAAGATTTCCCCCAAACACCTATCTTCTCAGAACACAGCTCATAAACCACAGCACTGAGATGTGCTGTCTCCTAGCCATACCTTGAATTTGTTACTATAAATAAAGCAGGATGTTACCATGGCAACCTAACAGTCTGTTGAAATTGCCCCTTATGGACCAAATTAGCCTGGATCGATAGTGCTTCCTGAATGCAGAATTACTTTCCTTTTGTACAAAAAAAAAAAAAAAGTTTGAACAAATTATAGAACAAAGCACTGGGGGAAATTAGGTCCCAGTCGATGCAATAACAGTGCAGCTCTCGGCAACGCCCATGCAGGGTGTCCTTAGTGACATGTTGTCACCGAGCTGGTGCTCTCCAGGCCAGCACTTTATTCACTGTTCACTTCCATGGCCTTTTCCCCGAAGGCAAGCATTTCCCGCTGCTCTGCATGTGTCAGGAGAAAGGACACTTCTGTCTTTAACATCCTTCTTCCTCAGGCTCAGCTGTCTAGCGAGGAGATGCTGTCTTCTGAGATGGACAGATTTTAAATGGCACTCCCCAAGTGGGCTGGCAGGGCAGACCTCAGAGCAGATGTGGGCCCAGATCTCACTCCAGGGAGGGATTTTCCCCATCGAAGTCATTAGTTAGCCCTGGAGCCTGGGATCTTCTGCAATTGTTCCTAGGAATTCTTACCCCAGGCCAAAGCTAAGGAAGCTAGAGATGGGACGAAGGGGGGCAGTAGTGCTGAGCTTGGCTTCATTTTGGGGTACATATCTGAGGGTGTACACAAAGCTCCAAATCTCAAATAGTCTTCCAATATACTAGATACCTACAATTCTATGCCTTTTATTTAAAATGCAGGGGTGTGTTGGTGTTAGGAATAGAACTTGGGTCCTCTTGAAGAGCACCTGGTGTTCTTAACTGCTGAGCCATCTCTCTAGCACCAAATTTTTGTTTGTTTGTTTGTTTATACAGACTAGGACTTGGCATGCAGCCAAGGATGACAGTGAATTCCTGATCTCCACTTCCTAGTGCTGGGATTACAGGTGTGTGCTACCATGCCCAGTTCTCACTGATATTTTCTGTGGCTAGCCATACAAGTTGCTTCTTCCGATGCAAATATCTCCCTCATTTCGCATACAGTTAATAAGAGAGAGACTCCAGAACTTTCCTTTCAGTGACCTGAACTCTCCTTTGGAAATATTAACCTGAGGAATCCTTTGGCAAATAGTGT